GAACCTCAGGCTGTCAGAGACCCTGCATCCTGCCGGGAGCCTCTGCTATCTCTGACAGCCTCCATCCCTGGCAGAGGCTCAGTGAGACCTGTCAGTCTGCAGAAGGTGCAGAGCCCATGGACAGGTCTCCCAGCTCCCTTGGACTCACGGGCTTCAACAACGCGGGCACAACCCTGACCCCTGACGTGGCCGGGGAAAGCCCAGAAGTCCAAATGGGACCCCAGCCCCATCCAGAGGAGCCTTCTCGGGAGAAGCTGGCCGAGCAGCAAGTGTCCTGGAGCCAGCAGTGGTCATCCCACAGCTGCCAGGACGCTGTGCCGCTTGTGCCAGCCGGTGACAGCCCGAGCCTGGAGACACCACGGAGGCTCCTCCATCTCCAGGAAGCTGTCCCAAGACAGCCCTCGACTGCCATGAAGGGCTCTGTAAGAGCAGGTGAGATCTCCTGAGGAGCTGTCTGAGGCTCCCCCAGGGCTCTTGAGGGGCACAGCCAGGCCAGGCCAGGGCCCCTGGGAGCAGCCTGGTCGCTGGCTCTTTCCAGTGCCTCTGATGGCACGGCTTCAGAAAGCCCTGCTTGCTTTGCAGCTGCTCCTGGCACCTCCCTGGGCGAAGAAGCCTCGGGCTGCAGTCCCGGCCGCGGTCAATGGCAGAGTGCAGCCCACGAGGCCGGGGCCAGCGACGGTGCCGCCGTGCCCCGCCGCCCCGGGGCTCCTGCAGCCGCCTGTGCGCGCTGCCCGGGCCCGGCTCTGCCGCTCGCCAGCCCGGCGGCTGCGGGGCAGGGGCCGCTGCCCGGCGCGCAGCAGGGAGCAGGTGAGAGCGGCGCGGCCCGCGGGGCCCGGCCCGCTGCACCCGCGGGCACCGGGGGCTCCTGGGCGCAGGGCTGATGGCCGCTCTCGGCCTTTTGCAGGGCAAAGGAAGGAGCTGCAGCAGCTGTACCAGCTGGGCCCGCGGCTGGGCGGCGGTGGCTTCGGCACCGTTTTCTCGGGCATCCGCCTCTCCGACGGGAGCCCGGTGAGTGGCCGCGGCGGCCGGCCGTGGGACGAGGGGCAGCGCCGGGGGGGGGCAGGGCCGGAGCTCAGCCCTCCTCTCTCCGTGGCTTGCAGGTGGCCATCAAACGCGTGGCCCGGGAGAGCGTCCTGCAGTGGGACGAGCTGGTGAGGGAGCGGGGCCGGCGGGACCGAGCGGGCCGGGGCGAGCAGGGAGAATCCCGGGGCGCCGACCGGCAGCGGGAGCCGGGGGATGGCGGGGGCAGCGGGCGCGGGCTCAGCGTTCAGCCGCAGCATCGCGGGCCCGGCCGTGCCAAACAGCGGTGGCGGGGCCGGGCAGGGGCACCCCCAAGCGTCCCCTGGGCGGGAGGAAGCCCCAGCACCGGGGAGGCTGCGCCAGGGGACACGGGAGCATCCCAGGCAGGTCGCAGTGCAGCAGCCCCAGGGCAGCATCAGGCCTGCCGCAGGCACTGATTTTCTCCTGCTCGCAGCCCGACGGCACCCGCGTGCCCATGGAGGTCGTGCTGATGGAGAAGGTGGGCTCCGGCTGCTACAACATCATCCAGCTCCTCGACTGGTTCGAGCTGCCTGACAGCTTCGTGCTGGTGCTGGAGCGTCCGGAGGCATGGCAGGATCTCCTGCAGTTCCTGCTGGAGCAGGGGTTCCTGTGCGAGGAGATGGCGCGCTGGCTTTTCGTCCAGGTGCTGGAGGCCGTGCGGCACTGCACCGCCTGCGGCGTCCTGCACCGGGACATCAAGCCGGAGAACCTCCTTGTGGACCCGGAGAGCGGCGACCTGAAGCTCATCGACTTCGGTTGCGGCACCTTCCTCCAGGAGCGGGCCTACACGCGGTTTGCTGGTGAGCCCATGGCCCGGGCCCCGCTCCCGGTGCCAGGCACTGCAGGGTCCCGCTCCCTCCTGGGCTGCGGCCTTCAGCCGGCTGCCCTTTGGCCCGGGGCAGACGCCGTGCCCCGGGACCCGGCTGCCGGCCCTGCCCGCAGAGGGGGCGGCCAAAGGCGGCTCCGGGCCTCCCGGCTCGGCAGGCCCACAAGGGCCTGGGCCGCTCCGCCGGCCTCCTTTGCCTGGCAGAATGGTTCCTTGGCTTTGGCCAGCTGGCTGGGGGACGCGGGGTGGCCTCGGGGGGGAAGCTGTGGCCGCGGGTGCAGCCCCTGCCTCAGCCAGGAGCCTGGCGCTGGGCTCTGGAAGGCAGCAGCCCGCGCCTGGACAGCGCCGCCCGTCTCCCCTAGGAACGCACGCCTACAGCCCGCCCGAGTGGGTCTGCCTGGGCTGCTACGACGGCCATGAGGCCACCGTCTGGTCCCTGGGCGTGCTGCTGTACGTCATGGTCTGCGGGAGCCTCCCCTTCGAGGACGACCGTGCCATCGTGCTGGGGCAGCCCTTCTTCTGGCAGCAGGTCTCTCCAGGTTGGTCTCCGGCCCCGAGCAGGCGGCTTTGGCAGCCGGCGGCGCGCGGCCCTCACGCGGCTCCGGGCACCGTCCATCCGCCCCCAGGGCCGGCCGCGGGAGGCGGCCGTGCCCACGGGGTCAGCGCGGCCCCGCGGCCGAAGGAGGCGGCCGTGTCCCGCCGTGCCGCTCTCTGCCCGCGGGGCGCGGTCGCTCGGGAGGCCGGCGCAGCCCTGAGCGCACGCAGCGCGGCCCGGACCCCGCGGGCGCCGGGGGCAGCCGGGCAGGAGCCTTCTGCCGGTGACCGGCGCTGTCTGCCTTCTCTCCGCAGAGTGCCAGCACCTGATCCGCTGGTGCTTGGCCAAGCACCCCGCTTACAGGCCGCACCTGGAGGAGATCTTGCGCCACCCTTGGGTGCGGGGCAGGCGCTTTTGACGCCTTGCAGGAGCCTCTGCAGCACCCACTTCCAGAATCCCACGCAGGACTGAGGGCCCGAGAAATAAAACAACAACAAACCCATTGCGGCGTGTCAAGCCTGGCTCTTGTCAGGAACTTCAGCTAAAGAAACCTCTTGGGAAAAGGGGAGATCTGAGTGCTCCCTTCAGCCTTTGTCAAACTTTCCATGCCTGTCCTCCAGGATGCTCCTTTTGTGTCTTCAAGCACAAGCTGTAGTGCGGGTAGGAGGGGCTTGACACAGCCAGGAAATGCAACAGTGAAACAACAGCTGCCCTTTGAAAGTGACAGGGGCTTATTGAAAGTGACAGGGGCTTCTTGAAAGTGACACAAGGGTCCCTGTGTATAGTAGGAATCCTAGTAAAAGATCCGTATTATATTTGAATATCTGTATTATATTTAAATATCTGTATATAGGTCTTGCCCTGATAAGCCCTGGTTGTTTTTGATGGGCTGCAGCTGCGATGTCCTTAATTGGGCTGCAGCTGTAGCTAATGAAGATAACTGGGATAAAAGGGGCTGGGCTTGGCCAGTCAGGGAGAACCTGGCAGGGGCCCTGAGTAGGTAGCAGCAATGGGCAGGGGAAGAAGTCAGAGCTATGAAGAACTGCCCCCAAGAAGTATTGCCAAGAAGGTACGAGACTTTAGAAATATGATTGTGACAGTATGGGACTCTAGAAATATGAAATGTAACAGCAAGATAACAATAGCTGTGTGCATTCCAAGGGCTCGTGTGGGTCAGGAACAGAGACTTTGCTCTCTTACCAAAGCTGTGAGTAGAACCAGAAGTGACAAAATTTCACTTCAGGTTGAGCCCTGATGAACTCTTTCTTCCCCTGTAATGGGAGCTAGGTCTTGGCCTTTTACCAGCTGGTTCCGCAACAAGCCTTCTAAGCCATGTGCATGGAGTGCACAAGGGAGATGTTGAGATTCCACAGTCACTCCTGTGGTGCTGGGATTATTGTACCCCCCAAAATTTCTTCCTCTGCCTTAAAAACAATTGCTGGCAATGGAAAATGCAGTAACCAGTCACAGGAAAGCACCCAGGTTCCTACCTGATGGTTAGTTGCCATCTAATAAACAATGCTATGTTTTGCCTACTGCTCTGACCTTCCAAAACAGGGTTTTGGAAATAATTGTTGGGGTTTTTTTCATTAATGTGCCTGCTCTTTCAGTTTTCTGCCCTTTTATGAAGGCTGCTGGGGCTCATGTGCCCTGAAAGGCTCTCCCAGTCTCTCCCTGAAGACCTGACCTGAGATTCTTCTAGCCAGGATCCCACTGTGGCAGGATGGTGACAGCTCTGTGTTTCAGCAGTGGTCTGGAGGCTGAGTTGGGAGTGGTAATTTTCCGATGACCTGTGAGTGGTGACTGTCAGTTGTCCAAGGGTCATGACACATTTCCTCCAGGAGCACAGCCCCAGGATGTTTGAGAGCTGGACGTCTCTGGTCACCCCATGCTGGGGTTTCTCCTCAGGCCAAAAGGGATGGCATCACTCCAAGGGCTGCCAGGGGCCCACCTCACCTGGCAAGCTTGGTGAGGTGTGGGTGTTTGACACGTTTGGGTGTTTTCCCAGTTTATCCCCATTTCTTCGGGGGGAGGTGACCGCTTGCCCTAAAATGGCCGCTCCTCTCTCACCCAGGCGGTCATTATGAGGGGACATTGGGCTCAGCTGGGGGTGGAAATGGTCCCAAATGGCCTTGAACTCCTCTGGCAACCGGGCCAACAAGGAGGTGACGTTACTCCTTTCAGGGAATTGTGGAGAGTCACAAGGTCCCCGCTGAGCCTCCCTTTCTCCAGACTGAGGTCCCCCAGTTCCTCAGCCTCACCTTATCAGACGTGCTCCAGAGCCTCCACCGAGAGATTGCTTCTACCTGCTGAGGCACAAGCCCCGAAAAATTCGCCAGCAGACAATTCGCCTTGTCCGCCACCCGGGGGGGATCCTGAGCGAAAAAAGAGTTCTTCGGTGTGGTTGCCTTGGTAAAAGTGAAGGAACTATTTCGGGCACACGGGAACCGCCGATTCGCTCGCCCAAGCGGCTCCGCAGCGGCAGGGACAGCCTCAGGGAAGGCTTCCTGGGGCCTCCCCGCGCTCCCCCGGCCCCGCCTCGGAGCCGCCCCGCCCGGGCCGTGTTTGCCCGGCCCCGCCCCGCAGCCGTGCCCAGGAAGCGGGAGCAGGAAGCTGCGGGGCCGCGGGCATGGCGGGGGGCGGCCCGGCGGTGAGCGGGGGATCCCCAGGCAGCGCCGGGGCTGGAGCGGGGCTGGGAGCCGGCGCTGCCCGGGCCGGGAGTGCGGGGCGCGGCCGCGGGCCCCGGGCAGGTGGTGAGGGCGGGGCCGGGGCGGCCGCGGTGCCGCCGGGGTCTGGCGGGGGCTCCCGGGCAAGAGCCGTCCGTGTCGTGCTCTGCGTGTGCCTTGTCTGTTCCCTCGCGTCGGGTTTCTGGCTGCACGGATGGCACTGTGGCTGCCAAGTGCGTTTCAAACCCTCCCCAAGGCCGTAGGTTGTGGTTTCTGGAGTGTAGCGCTGTTGTGGGGGAGGCTGCTGTGTCGGGAACCAGCTCTGCAGGGTGCTGAACGCCTCTGTCATTTGTCCTAATGCGCCTTAACCCCATCCCTGCTGTCCTCCGCAAATGAAAGGGTTGGTCTCTTGCCCGGAGGCTTTAACCGTGCTTTGAATTAACATCTTCGTTTGTATTAACAGAACCTACCAGGCCCAGTGAGTGCTTCTGGTAAAGGGGGAGCTGTGTGTGGTGTGCAGCCGATAAGTAACAGTGGTTAATAATTGTTTTGTTAACAATCAGTGTAAAAACCATTGCCATGGGCCTCATCGACCTCATGTGCACAGGAGCCACAGCGTCCATGAAGATAAAGGTCTTCCAGGCCCATATCCCATTGCTGAAGACCCCAGCACCTGTGATATTGTCAAGGCTACACAGTAAGTACATGTTCTGAGTGTGCAGAGTGTTGGAACAGATGGAAGTGTCCTCAAATGTGAGCCAGGCTGGATATTTTTTACAAAGGAAATGTTTTCAGTTTCATTTTCTCCCTGTAGTGGAAGAGGACAAGTAACTTACTGTTGCTACTGTAAATAAAAACATTTCAAGCAGCTTTGTTTAAGTAGAAAATTCTACTCGTCAAGGCATAGCCCCACTCTTTTTACAAGACTTCCATTGAATGCCATGTGGAATTTGCTCCAGTAGGATCTGCTGGGTGATGCTTACTGAGATATATTTTTTTCTTTAGGGTGCAAATGTCTCCAGACTGGAGAATACTGAAAAAAATATAAGTAAATTAATCTTTTTTTGTTTCTCATTTAAGGTACGGAATGCTAGAACGATGCAAAGAACTGGTAGAAGCAGGATATGATGTTCGACAGCCAGACAAAGAAAATGTGACTCTTCTTCACTGGGCAGCCATAAACAACAGACAGGAGCTGGTAAAGTAAGCTGAGAGTCCCTGTGACAGTAACACAGTGTATTCTGCCACTGGTACCTATAATCACTTTGAGAAGAGAAGGGTAGTATTCAAATTTTAATGCACTTACCTTAGTGAAGATATCACTGAAATGTAAAGGTAGCATGTTTCTTTATATATGATATCATTGGATTTTCCTGGGTTTGTTTCTGTAACAAAGGTGAAAGCTGATTTTAGAAGTACCTTGCTAATGACTATTTTTTCTTCAACATTTTCTTGAAACAGCATTACTTACTTGGTGAACCACTTTTGTCCATTTGCTTCTCCAGTGAATTTTTTATTATGAGTCATTTACTCCTTTAGCTATGTTATCTTAAGTGTAAGGCTTTTCTATTTTATTGTCTGTTCCTGACCTTATTGTGCTGTTATTACACAGATATTACCTTTCCAAAGGTGCAGTAGTGGATCAGCTTGGTGGAGATCTGAATTCTACACCCCTGCACTGGGCCACCAGGTAGTGCTGCTTGCAACCCCTATCTGCAAATCTGTCGGTATTTAAAGCTGTGGTAGCACTTTCTGAGATTCAGAGAGCAAAGCACTGCTTGTCTGGAGAAAATATAACTTGAATTATTCTGGGTAAACTTCTCTGAGTGTGAAGTCTCCTGCTGGAAGATGAGTGCTTTCTTCTGGACTGTCAGTCTTTTGCCAGAATCAGAGGCTTGGATGACTGCTCATAGGAGAAGTTACTGTAGAATACCCACTGTAGTCTAAATTAATGCTTCACCCTAGGCTTGTTTGTTAGGCTGTATGTATTTAATATGATTTCCTAAATAAAGCTATGAGAAGCTGAAATATTTTGTGGGATGCCTGTGAGAAGGCAATGCTTTCCTTAAAATATCCATGTTTGAAATTGTCTCTATAGTTTCATTTACAACTGTTGTTGCAGACAAGGACACCTTCCGATGGTCGTGTTATTGTTGAAGTGTGGAGCGGATCCCAGTCTCATTGATGGGGAAGGATTCAGTAGCATTCATTTAGCAGTGCTGTTCCAACACATGCCCATCATAGCCTACCTCATAGCAAAAGGCCAGGTATGTTGCTGCTGCCCCAAATGTGCTTTTCTGCTTATGAGTAGCTGCCTGTGTATAGGAGGCATTCCAGAACTAACTCGGTTTTTTTCGATGAAGAACAGTGATTTTACACCTCTTCTTATGTGCTAGAAGCACAGACAAACTTAGGCATTTGTATATATAATTTTTTTTAATGCTCTTCCCTATTCCTGTCATTGCCCACATCCAGATTCACCTACATTTCAGCATGCTTAGGAGTGTTGTTAAGGTCGTGTGGATTTGTGGTGCTGTGAAATAACCAATGGCTTTTAAATGTGGGAACAAAAAGCAGTATATGATGTATAGACATTATGCAGTATTTATGAATTGATTTCGACTTTGTAACTAATAATCTATTCAGTTTTCCATAAATTGAAGAATGCAGAAAAAATTATCAGATATCAGACTAGGTCTGAATTTTCATTAGAAATTTCTGTGTTGTATCCATGGTAGTTGATGTCTCTTAGCTTATATGTGAAATGAGCAGAATTGATGGCAAGTGTAACAACCTGCTAATAAAAATGACAAGAGAGTTCTTATATGATCTAGAGTGATTTTGAGAGACAATCTAGTGTTAGAATTTAAAAGATTGCTCAGTTTATTTTCTTTCTCATGAAGTTCTCTTTAGGGAGAGTGACTTCAGGAACGTAGGTGCAGTGGCATATATCACAGGCTTAATAAAGTTGTTGGCCCACATCTCTTCTACTAAAAATATCCATGTGAATAATTCTTTTAAGTAAGCCTGTGCTAATATAATGATGGATGGAGGGAGAAAGCAAGGAAACCTTTGTTGTGAAAAAGGAAGAAAATTTAGGCTAGATATTTATGTATGTCTTGAGATAGGTAGTCCTTCTTTGTTGTTTTAATAAATGTGTTTTACGTGTTTTCTTTACATCTTTTATGTACTTTGATTTACACAAGGAATATGGTTAGCATTGCTTTACGAAGTTCTTCTTATTGATAGTGTATTTCTTTGCAAGGAGGACAAGAAATACAATTGACATGATTCACTTAAAAATATCCTTAGTGGAGTCTCTCCCTTAAAAATTCCCTTAAAATAAAAACTCAGAATGTTCTGTAAAGAATGACATGCAAGACTTAGAGAAGGAGGAAAAAGCTTTAAATGAGTGTTGGCTTCTTGGCTGATGTGTTTTGATTTGCCTTTTTTCTGTTCATTAGTGAAGCTAAGTCAGTTACGTAGCCCCAAATTCCACTGTTTCCTGAGATCACTGGTAATCACTTGCTTGTTATGTTTTTCTTATTCTTAGAACATAGACACAACAGACTTCAATGGACAAACGCCTTTAATGTTAACAGCACAAAAAGCCTTTGGGTAAGTAGAGAGTAACTGAAGAAAAGTCTATTGTATTGTAGTCAAGAAGCAGTGAGGTGAATTTTTCCTTGCTTTTTTTTTTTAACTCACGTTCCTTTCCCTTCCATTTGTACAAAAATATGAGGTGTTTCAGAGATTCAGAGTTGGGAGTGCTTATTGGATATAGCAAAGAAAGTGAAAGGAATTTCTTAAGTAAGTTTAGGTTTACGGCTAAATTGTCTGCAACCTTACTGTATTTTCTGCAAAATTAAATGGGTGTGGATGCAGTGAAATACGTTTAGAACTAATAAAATGGGGAGATAGAAGGTGTTGTAGAAGATATAACCGGTGTTATGTACCTCATATTTGTTAAAATGGTAAGGTAACATCATCTGGAGAAATGATGATGTTACCTTACTTCCAGGGCAGGTGGGGAATTCTAAACATGGGTTTACCATTCATGAGCTGGTTGTGAGAAGGCATTATATGTTCAAAAGTTTCATTTCCAATCTAGATTGTCTTCTGTTTGTTAACTCTGGTAATTTATTTTCATCTAGACCAGAACCCATGAAGTTTCTCTTAAAGTTTAACCCCTCTCTCAATGCTGTAGACAATGTTCAAAAGAATACTGCACTGCATTGGGCAATAGCCTCAGGAAATACTAGTGCAGTGGATCTGTTGCTGGAAGCTGGTGCCAGCCTGGACATAAAAAATGTTAAGGTAGGATTTCCTTTGTGATATTTTATCCCATGTAGCATGAATGTATAAAATGAATGTAAAGAAAAATCTCAGTCTTCTCCATGTTGGATGTAAATTGCAGTGGGGTTTGGCTAAGAGCAGGTATTCTTAGTCTTTCCGAAAAGAGAGTTGGTACCTTTCTTGAGATGTGGCTCCAAGTGTGAATGCAGAGGCTCTTGGCAACTTGTGTGTAATGAACAGCCATGCCTTGTGTTCACTGAACAGTAATTGTGTCCTTTGACTTGATTCTGCTCCCTCGCCCTTTTTTGTTTCATTTTCCTGGGGTGCTTAGTTTGATTTTCTCAGGACCTTGTTTAATTTCTGTTTCATTTTTTCGTTTGGCTGTTTTCTACTTAAAGACATTGTCATGAGGACTTGGGCAGATTTTAAAAAATGCATTTCTTAGTATCTAGTCAGACTTGTAAAGACTTCAAATTAAGTGAATGTCCTCCTGTGAAAGCTGATGTTTGGCAATGCCTGTTTGTACATTCAAAAGGTTATCACATATGAAAGGCTTCAACTTAATGTTTGTGGGAACTGATAGCATAAATGTTGAAAGTATAGATTCCCATGACTATTTAGTTGTGTTATTGGAAACAGTCCAACAGATAAACAGCTACAAGTATCAGTTTTCAGAGCTATGAAGCTCTGATTTAAACATGTTAGTACTCTGAATTTAGCTTACCTTTACCTTAAAAAAATAGTGTGGGGGGAGATGGGGCTGGGAAGTAACTGCCCAGTTAGTCTTGTTGTAACTATGATAATTTCTTGCCTTTGTTAAAAGTGAGAGTGTTTATGTGTAAAGTAATAAATAAATAAATAACCCTATTTGTTGTTAAAGGGAGAGAGGCCACTTGACATTGCTTACCAAAGTCAGAATCCCTTCATGATTTACATGCTACAAGAGGAAGAAAAAATGAGGAACAGGAGAAATAACAGGTTACTGAAAGTAGTAGAGAAATATGAGGTAATTTCCTGAGTAATAACTAATAGAAATAAAACCAGAGCATGCTGTGTTTAGAGTGACATGCAAATTAACTCTAACAAGAGTAATTTCTGAAATTGGGTGCACAAAATAGAGTTCTTTAAAAGCATGTTGGAGTGGTTTGGGTGAGAGTTTTGTCATACCTCACCCCTGCTTTTGATGTATTGATGTGTCTTGTCCTATCTTACTGTGAGTCTTTCAGCATTTGTCATTACATGAACTGAATACTTTTAAGTAAGACCTGCTTGAGTACTTTGTCATATTTTAACAATAATAATTTTAACAGCTCTTCCTGGTGTTAGCATCTTCCTTGACGTTCATGTGGGCCGTTGGATACGTCATGGACCTAAGTTCTGATTCTTGGCTTTTAAAAGGAGGTTTGCTTCTCAGCCTGCTATTTGTGATGTCTCTGTTTGTGAGGTTTGTGGCCTTTTCTCTCCGTTTATGTACTTACTTGGCAAAGACTTTAAAAAGCATCTGATGCATAATTCTTTTCGAAGTTTAGTTTCAGTTAACAAAAAAGATAGAGCCTGAGAAATTGTTTTACAATGTGTGGAGAATTTAAATGCATGTACTTTTTAGAATTAATGACCTTAATACTCAAATATACTTAGGTGCACACAATAATAGTTTCTTGTCACTGAAGGATTTGGAAAAAAACCCCAAATGCAGTCTGTTAGCTAATTTTGTTGTCAGAGTATTGCTGATGGTCTCTGTCTGGTAGACATTGAGATATTTGCTCAGAAATGTCCTTTATCACAACTTTTTCCTGCTGTGTTCTGTCACAAAATGAGTTTTCAGAAGCCATCCCCTCTCCTGCTCCCCAGACCTCCCAGTGTTATCCTGAGCTGTTTCTCACCTTTCCTGCTAAGGTCAGTGGCCACTGATATGGCAATGCTACCTGTGTGCAAATAGACAGAGGTGGGACTTTTCCACCAGTCCTACTGCACTTTCCAGGTATATAATATTGTGCTGGAGCAGAGCACTCTTCAGTTTTATTTTTGCATTGTTAACCCCCTATATGTATGGATAAAGAATGCTTTTGAGTGACAGTTCTTGATTGCTTTGAGCAACTTGAAATAAACCCTGTGCTTGAAGTTTTTGCAGTTACAAACCAGATTATTTATATTCTATGTATTTTCTATATCTATGTATATTCTGTGTTTCAAATTTATTTTGAAAAAATATTTTTTTCTTTTAATGTTCTTTCAGGCAACTTGTGGGGCTCAAGAACCTAAGATACCTTCCCACAGCATTTCTGCTAAGTTCAGTTTTTTGGATGTCCATGACCTGCTTTTTCTGGTTCCTGCCTGATATCCTTTATACTCAGGAAATGCAATTCCGCTTGGAGTTTCTTGTAAATCTAAACCTGTTGTGCAAACTGTGATGAGAAGTTCCAGATAATTCCATGTGACTGTTCATCTCTGGTAAAATTGGTTTAATCCCATTGGGAAGGGGCAAAGTGACTTTAAATTAAACAAAGACTAAAATTCTGTACGTTCTTTTGTCTATAGATTTTTGTCTTCCTTACAACCTGACCTATTTCATATGTTACTGGAATATCAGAATGAAGGTGTTATGTAACTAATGGTTTCTGTTAGCATCTACACATCACTCTTTAATCTTCCTCACTGAGACTGTGGTACAGTGATGTCTTTTGTCATGTGCTGTAACTGGGTAACACATCTTAATAATAATGCTGAAAGCATCTCTTCATTCTAAAATGATAAGCATTTGACAGTTGGTGGTATTCATGCTCCTGCCTTTAAAAACAACATCCTCTACCACCACCTCCCTAAAAAAGAAAAGAAGAAATTCCTTTGTGTTCCTGCAAAGTAGACGGTCCAGTCTCCTGTCTTTATTCACAGGTTACATTGAATCTTTAGTATACAGCGAATTAATTTCTATCTGACATTTATTTGCTTTGAAGAGGCTTCTCAGTGATGAGTACAAAAACATTTTAGTAGTTTGTGCTCTCTTTCCAGTGCCCTGTTCTTTGTTAAACAGTGGGTGTCTGTTCATTGATTAAGTTGTGTGAAAAAGCCTTTAGGAAGAGTCTTAGAACTGCAAATAATTTTGTACTAAAGCAGCTACAATGTATTGCTACACAGTTTTAATAATTTTAATTCAGCCTTTCAATTACATTTTCTCTTGTACTGTTCCCAATTAAGATGTCCTTAATGGAATTATCAGGATTAACTCTGATGAACTGATCAAGTGTATTCCTGCTGGGGATTCACACATGTGCTTGTATAAATGGAAATGGTGTTATTCAATTGTTGTGAAAGTTTAAGGTTTGTTTTATTGGCGTAACATAAGTTAAAAGGAAAAAACAATTCCACTTGTAGGGATTTGAGTCGGATGCTGCTGAAGATAGTGAGCATAGCAGTGTTCTGGAAGTACTAACCATAGCCTGGTGAGATGGGCCTGTGGATAGGTTTCCATCTCACTGTCCAACCCTTGTTCTCAGGAGTGTGTTTTCCTTCTGGAGCTGGTCACAGTGTTTTAAAAGTGCTCAGGATTTTAGTTAGCTGTATCTGTCTGTCAGACTTCCTTTGGACTGAATGAAAATCCAGCCATTCTAACTAAAGATTTCTCTGAGCTCCAAAAACCAATACCAGTGCAAATAGACCAGCAGTATCCACAGGAAACGCACCATCATTTTGACTTCTATAATTGCACCCTGCAACTGCATTGTAACAAACACAGCTGATGTTCGTGCCAGTATTTCCTAAATTGTCACCTTGATTTTAATTAGAACTGTTTGCAGTGTTGTTAGTTCATAAGAGAAAACAACTTTGGGGTTGCCATCCTGGATTTTTCTAAATTATTTTCCCTGGAGTTCATCAAGTGACTGAGGAGTCACTGGAGGTGCCATCCAGACTTGAGCTCTCTGTCTGGTCCTTGGTAGCAGCAGGATGGTTCTTTAGCAGCCTGGGCTCTCAAGGTTGATGCATGACTTCAAGTTGTATTAAAGTAGTCTCACTCTAACTGTCTCCACACAGCAACAGAGGAATATAATCTTGACATGTTTTTCTTCCCCAGTCATCTGATACACAGATGGTTTTAGTTCTTAGTGTAAAAATGGTGTTCCTAATGTCCCATTACCTTCAGAAGTGTTTAGCAGTGTGTGCTTGGGCTTTTTTTGTGTGACAAAAATAGTTTCAGGATGACTTTCAGTTACATTTTTCTGAATGAGTATATTTAGTTGCTTTTGGCTGAAATGAATGGGACAAGCTACGACTGAGTAAGAGCCTGTTTGAGTTAGGGGTGGTCCAGCAGCCAAACTAATCTCACAGCTGCCAGAAGCTTTATAGCTCTGCGTGTCTGACTGATATTGTGCAAATAAAGTACAAAAGCTCTAGAGGGGAAAAAAGAAATCAGATTTGTTTCATACCTCTGAAATATTCAAAAGCAGAAGTCTGGAGGACTTTTAAGGAGGATCACATGGAGCCATGTTGTGATGCAGGTTTATACAGCTGTGAAAGTCTTCTTCAGCACTCAAACTGGACAGAATATTCCATTTCTCTGATAAGATGGCCTTGGAAGGACAGAGAGGATCCCACTGTAAAAGTGAAAGTCTTTTTTTTCTTTCTTGTGTCTTGCTTGTATTAACTAATTAGTATTAACCAATTTTAGAATATTTTGCTTGTTTCACAGAGAGTGGTGTTATGAGTTGTAAGAATATAGTCCTTAACTTGACTATCACATACCACATACACAAATGTAATTCTTAAAATCACTGTTGTGTTCAGTTTGATGGGTCTTCTCTATTATTTCTATAAAACCTGGAGTACTGATCCTGGATATATCAAAACTTCAGAAGAAGAGAGAAAAGAGGTAGGTGGTTTTGTAAAAACAAATGGAAGGGCTGGTGCGCTGCAACATGTATCAGCCACTTCTGGTGGTTGCTTGTCATCATGTGCAGCTTCGGTAAACTGGAAAGCAGTGAAATCTTCCTTAAAGAGGTTTTAGCAATGTTGTTTAACAGCACAGATCTTGGAGAATTTCTCCTTCTACTGCTTGTTTCCTTATCTCCCTTGTCCTGCTGTAGTTTGCTTGCCTCTGTCTTCTCATTGAAATACGAACTTTGGCCAAAGATTGTACAGACCCACTGGTGTTATCTGTGATATGAATTCACATAGAACTTCACTTAAAAAAATCTAAGTTTAGCATGGCTTCTGTTGCAGTTGTCTATGGTTAGAAAGAAATAGTCACAGTGCTTTCCTATATGTCATGTGCTACTAATTAATTAAATTCTATCATGTGCTTTGAGAATGTGTATAATGTTTTTTGTGCTTGAGCATCGTGCAACTCACATGCTATTTCCTAACTGTTTTATAGCAGCCAAAAGAAGTCATGGGCAGACGATCAGTAGAGAATTTAGTGTCTGGTCTCTCCAGCCTATGGGTTATGGGGAGCATTTTCTTTGTGATCTCATGGCTCTCATTGAGGTTGTATTTCTTCCAATTGCCAGGGAGAATAAACTGCAGTTTTAACGCGTTGCCACAGGACTCATAAATGTTCTGTCCTTGTAAAGGAGCAGGCTTCATCTCCCTGAAGTCTGGCTGACTGTATGAGGGGTGCCATCTCCTTTTAAGGAACATTTAATTCACATCATTTATTAATTTTGACAACACAGAAATGCTTTTCTGAGTAATCTTGTGTGGGTGAAGCTGCATTAGTCTTTACTGGTTTGTTTTTTCTTGTGCACCTCTTTAAATAGCGAGTTCTTACTCCTGTTCATGCTTGGCACTTAAAATACTTACAAACTGCAAAAGTCCCAGTGTGGAAATGTTCATAGCACCTATGGAAAAGTTATCCAAATGCAAGCGCAAAATCTTTATTTTTCAGAACATTATAGCTCTTGCAGAAACGGGTTGCTTGGACTTCAGAACATTTTGCACATCGTGTCTTGTAAGTAGGGCTTTTGTACTTTTTTTTGTGAGCCTGCCTTTTACTCAATACTGCCATAAATAACCTTTTTCCTCACTGCTTGTCATTAAAGTGTTACACAAGTAGTTTGTTATATATTGTTTAGATTTCTTTTATGGTGATAAGAGATGCTTTGAGATCCTTGGACTCTAATCTTAATTTTTAAAAATCCAATATTTTTTCTTTTTAATTAAGGTGTATGGTTCTCATCCATGTTCTGTGTTGTGAGGTCTGTGACACAGTACTTATGCAAAATGTGGTGGTAACTAAGATGATGCCTTAAATTTTGAGCAAAGTAGATGCTTCTGCTATGAGTGTGTTCTTTCCTTTCATCTTCCCCTAGGTAAGGAAGCCTTTGAGATCTGTGCATTGCCTTGCTTGCCAAGCATGTGTAGCCAGATATGATCAGCATTCTCTGTGGACTGGACAGTGTGTAGGTGAGTGTGTTGCTTTATCAAATTTGAAAATGCCCCATATTTTAAAAGTTGCAGAGATAACATTTATCCCCTTAAAGAGAGAGCACACATGACACAAGAATATCCTGTTGATGCTGAAGGACTCTGATAGGTGGCAGAGTGAAATAAGATGGAAGAGAGAAAAGCAAATAAGATTATTTAGGGGTTGTTAGAGTGGTCACCCTAAGAACACACATCATGCAATCTGTAACTCTTTCTTTGGAGAGAGAAGGAACAGGAGATATGATTGAGACTTTAAAAAAGGAAAGAAAAAAAATTAAGATGATGACTAAAGTGAACACAGAATTATTAGCCAAGCATGTCATAGTAGAACTAGGGATTTAGGACTGGTAGAGGAAAAATGTCTCCACATGGCAGGCAGGGAAATTTTGGAGCTTGCTGCTGTAAGGGTTTGCAGACACAGGCAATGTCAGCAGGTTCAGAAAGGGTTTAGACAAACTTTTTTGGACAACCTGTCCAGGAGTAGATACTGAAAGAACCAGACAAGTGTGCACAGTCTGACATTTTAATGCAGTAGCTGTGGGTGAGGAGAATGAGCTGCAGGAAGTGGCTGGACTCGTGTGTCCTCCTGAACTTCCATTGCCCCTTGTCGCTGTCGGGGACAGTTCTGTGGGGCAGCTGTACCACTGAGATGGCCCTGCAGGGCATTTCCATCTTCTTGTGTTCTTCCCTCTCACCCTCTCTCTTCCTTTGTGGCTTATTTCTGGTGATGCTCAAGATAGGAAGGTGAGAGCTTCACATTTCTAACAATACATTTTTCACTTTTTTTTTTGCTAACACCCTTTTTCCTAGTGTTAAATGCTATTTTTGCAGTGTTTGCTATTTACAAGGTGCTGAGACATCCTTCTGATGTGTTGTCTCAAAGCTTTGAGCAATATCACTGTAATTAAAAATATCTTCATGTAACAGTTGTTCTGACAGAGGTCTAGAGCTTTTTTCATGTATGTTTTCAATTCTGAAGCACACAATGTCCAGCAAATTTAATAGCTTAGACTTCTCAGTATATGAGGCAATTTTATTGTGCATGGGAGGGAGTTATAGTTGCTTAATTAGGTCTCATCAGACTAAAACAGCTGAAGGCATGCTCTGAAGAAGAGACAAATCCTGGTTGACTTTATCAGAACTAATTGTATTATATAAATTGGATGGCTTACAGGACAAAGTTGAGAGAGAGATCAGCCTTGCCAAGCTCTCTTGTGGATGGCAGAGGTTAAAATAAGAAATGGTTTTGATTCTTTTTATTCCTGATAACTTTAGTAGAAATGCAAGTACTGCTGAATTTTAAAATGTCCAACTTTAATTTTTTTTCCCCTCAATTTCAGGCATTGGGAACCATTATTACTACCTGTTGTTCCTGTTTTTCCTGACAATGACTGGTGTCTGGCTGCTTTATGGAACTCTTCAGTGTATGTATCCATGAGTTTAGTTTTATTTAGCTTTCAAATCTGTCTCTGTGTGGTCTTTATTTTTCAGCATTTCCTTTCCAGCAAGTACAACCTGCACAAGCAGTACCTTATTTCAGCAGTGATGTTACTGTAGCTCAAGTGAAAATGCGTCCTATCTGAGTCTTTGGTCAAATACCTGATTCCATTTGTGTTGAGCAGGAACAAAGATGCTGTTGTAGTGGGGTACCCGATAGAAAATGAAATAGCAGGAAGCATTTTTGTTAGAGAGGAAATAGGGAATCATTTTAGTTAGAGAGGAACATGTGGCAGAAGGTCAGGTGACAGGTTCTAATCTGGATCCCCTTTGCTGTAACAGAAAATAAGTTTGTAAATACATTATTGCAAAAGCTTGATTGATTATTTTTTCTTTTTAATTTGGAAATATCCATACTAAATGCAGACATTTCTTTTTGGTTTTAAAGTAGTTTAATTTTGAAGAGAAAAAAAGTATATTAGTTTGTTAATGAATCTGGACTGTTGCTTTGTAAAATTAAAAATTTTATTGGAAAGGAGAGGAAAACCCTCATAATTTAGTTGCTGAGGATGAATTGCTATAGCACCAACCTTTAAAAACAAGGATATTTTTCTGTGGATCATGAACACAGTGTAGAGATTGTGCAGCCAGAATAGCAAGCACTCACACATCTGTGTGGGTGCTTTTAGGTGGCAATGGGATAGATGAAACATGGTATTTCTAGAGGATGTTGCTATGTAATATTAATTTCATGCAAATAATCTTCCCTCAGCTCTTAAGGGCTTAAAAACACAATTGACTGATTGTGTGTGTTGTCAGATTGGTCCAACCACTGTGCAGCAAATTTCCATCAAGATGGAGCGTGGACGTACTTCACCCAGACAGTGTCCTGCTCTCCCTGGGTTTCCTACATCTCCTCAGTCGCTTGTTTCCACACCCTGTGGGCCTCTCTGTGGCTCACTGTTCAGCTTTATCAGGTAATCTTTTCCTTCAGTTTGTGCTTCTTGTCAAATTAAAGCTCTTCCCTGGATGATTTGCTCCCATAAAAACTCTGTGCCTGCTCTCCCTGATAAATGCCACAGCAAGGTGCTTCTCTTAAATCTCAAGGCAGAGCTTCAAGTTTCACAGGTTCAGCTTGTGCACTCAGCATTTCTCTGTTGGAAGTAGAATCACAGTCTGCAAATCATTCCTATAACTGAGCTCTGAGTTTACTACTCAAAATTCCAAGCCTATAAAAAGCTGTATTTAAAGACAAGAAGTTTATTTGACTAATCAAACTGGTATTAATGCCCCCAAAACTGCACGGAATCTCAGTAACACAATTATTCTGGAGTTGAAAATTCTGTGGCAGAGCTCAGCCATGTGTCATTAGACTGCATTAAATCCCACTGCAACTGTAAAAATATATGACCTGGATTTTATCTTGAGGACTGTCAAATTTCTTGTTTGTTTTTATCAGAGAAAAGCTTGGCTATGCAAACAAAATTGAGAAGAGCTGTCTTAAAACATCTGTGAAAGCTTGTTTAGCAGCTCTTAGGAAACAGGTGTCTTTGAAATATGTGCTAAGCACACTGAGCTAAGGGCTTGTTTTACATCTTGTTCAGTAAAAAAAACCCAAAAAACAAAAAGCTCCACAATCTTAGATGTGTACTGCTAGATTTTTGCAGTGTCCAAAACAGTGGGATATCATGCTGGAAAAAGATAGGGAGGATTAACTACTTATCACAGTTTAACTGCTGTTTCATACACAGTGATTTGAGAATGTACTGCTTTGTGGCATTTAGTGTCATTGTGGATCAAGGTGTCTTTTTCTGCCATTTTGTGTGGTAGAATGTAGACAAAAATCTGAGGAAATTGGTGCTTAACTGTGATAGATCTTCCACTTCTGCAGACATCTGTGAAAGGTACAGTCTTCACAGACATCCCAATTAGGCTTGCCTTCTCTGGGAGCTGGTTCTTGCCAGGTCCTTTTGGCCCCAGTGACATTTCAAGACATACTTTGCAGTCATCAGTTATAGCAGTGGTTACTTATTTGTTAGATATGTCCAGGCTCTTCCCCCTACTCCCTTCTTATCTTTTGCTCACTAGGATTTTAGTTTGTGTTATTCATGTTGTAACCATTACTTATGTTTTTTTTCCAATCAGATTGTGTTCCTGGGGTTGACCTCACATGAAAGAATGAATCTCCTGGTACAGAGAAAATCCTCTAAGCATCCTGCTTCACTCAGGAGGACTCCCTACAAGTGGGTATTAATGAATAGAGTGTTTGAAACATGTTATCTCTTCAGTACTGATTGGTTTCACTGCCTCATAAATGCAAAACCACTGTTTTTGGGGTGAGGGAGTGCTGTCCAAAAATTTGTTCATCAGTCCCTGTGTCTGTTGTGTAGGATCAGAAAGGGACTAGTTCACACCTTACTTCTGACTTCTCCTGCAATATTTAGCTCTATTAATAGAGAAATCAGTACCAAGGTTTCCCAGTTTCCTCAGGTATACTAACAGACGGGATCTTAACAACTGTGGGGCATTATTTGAGTCCAGCTTAATCTACTCTTACGTGTTTAAGTAAAACATGTAAAAGTTCAGCAAAGGTATAATGCTTAATTGAGAGCTCTTCTGTTTCTTCTTCCTGAGCTGTCTGCCTTGACAGGTTAAAATCTTGGGTGCTGTCTCATGGTGAAGTGGTGTTTGTCATGCTTGCAGTCTTCTTTTCTTGTGTTTATGAATGCATGTTCTTCTCTTTTTTCAGCCTTGGATGCTTCCAGAATCTTGCAGACTTCTTTCAGTGCAGTTGCTTTGGTATGTTCAAACCCAACTTAATTGACTGGACCAAGCAATACAAACTTTTTCATCCGGCAAAAGAGAAAAATGTTCATTCTGTGTAAAACTTTGCTTAATTTCTAAAACGACTGAGCTGAAAGCTAAATAAAACAAGATATTTCGTTAATTTCTACAAATTCTCCTGAAGCTGCTTGTTTTTAATTTTTATTATTGTTTCAAATATTAAACTTAGATAAGATACAGCAGATTTGTAGATGGAACAGTCACTGTGTGTCTGTGTATATATAGTTGGAGCTGAAACTATTTAAAATTTTATGTGGTGAGATGACACAAATATATATATTTTTAAAGGTAAGTTTTTGGGGCAGAATTTCAAAATTATGTTGATAACATTTGCTTTACTTTTCCGGTAACAAAAGACAATTAAATTTGAAAATTAAGGTGAAAGTTCATGTTTAAAAACTTAATATTACAATTATATTGTAATTTTATTGCTTATGCTGTGAAAATCTCTATTATGTCTTTGTATTTGAAGAGTTTACATGTAATAAAACAGAGAGCTTTCATACTTGTGCGTGTATTTTTGCAGATTGGAATAGAGTCAAGGGATATGTGGCAATGATGTGTTTAAGAGTGGGTGGGCACAAAACCATAAGAAGGAGCCTGACTCTTTGCCTTGTGTTTTTCCCATATATATGCCCTGTTAGGGTATGAAAATGGGTGAGTTTATGATGGAAGAGAGCCATGCACATAAAAAGAAGGAATTGTTCCCCACTGCATCTGTAATAGCTGATGTCAGCCACATTCCCCAGGACAGGAGGGGCCAGCTGTACAGTGTGATATGAATGTAAGTCAAAGCAGGTAACAATGAAAACCAGCAGGAAAAGTGTTCAAGATCAGCAAATTAAAGTCAGATACCATCTAGAATAGACTGTAAGTACTGTAGTGAAATGCAGTTCTTGTGAGGGGTTTCATTCATCCTGGTGAAATCCATTTATCTGAAGCGTTGTAGAAAGTAAAGCACAAGCAAATAAAAAGAATGTGAAGCAGTAAGTACTTTATTGTAGCTTGAAAACAGACAAAGCTTACACCACTATATCCTGAGAAAATGTTGGGTTTTTTTAGAAACACCTCCCTCAGAGAAAGAGGATTTCAAATCCTTTTTAGTTGTCTCAAAGCAAATTACAGCTACTTGTTCTAACACAGTTGCCAGCCTAGTCAAAACTCAGCTAGGAGACTGGTGGAAATACAGACAGGTTAACATTGTGAAAAGAAAATGCAATCTAACTGGGAACACCTGGGCCCTTCGCTCCCCAAGGGATCCCTGTCATAAGGGGGCACTAGGAGTCTAAAATTCCAGTCTAAAATGTAACAAGTACTAGTTTAAGAAGCAGTAATGTTCCATGAGGTTCCTTGTCTTTATATACTAAACACAAACATGAGTCTAGTGTTATCATTGTACATTTTTAATCTACTCTAAGAATTTCTTAAGATACAGCTCATTATTTTTTCCTGCAAGGAGGAAAATCTTAATCAAATGCCCTAGGTACTTAGCAATATGTGTTGTTTAATGTTTTACTTGACAGCTGTCACTTGGTGTCATCAACAGCGCTTTGAGTCTGTTGCATCCATTTCTTCTCATTCACACTCTTTCTTTTCCACTTGGGTGAGGCCACCAAACCCAATTCCCTTGGGACCGAAGTTTTTTGCATAGCAAACTGCAAAAGAAGGAGTGGGAGGTAAATGGTGCTCTGAAGGCTCTCAGAGGTTAATATCTTTTGGTTTTTGTTTTTAAATTATCAAATTGAAGTTGATAAAAAGGAAGGAAATCTGAAATAGTGTATTTCCCATAAGTTTATCCAGGTCTTAATAGTGAAGCTGGTATTACATATTTGAAGTACACAGAAGTTGCATCTGGTGACTCAAAGAAAGTTAAGAAATTATCTATTTTTTCAGATCTAGGTAATAGTTTCATTAAAGCTACTTTCCTGTCTGAAAATGCTCAGTAAAACTTGGTCTGATGAGTAGTACAAAGTAAGCCCGAGATTTTTAAGAAGAACTGGAGCATAATCCAGAAACTATTGATGGGCATTTAAGTAATTCCATTTGAACTCTTTATTAGTTAACGTGTGCATAGTTGTTTATCACAACTCTAAGTGGTGATGGTGAGTATATTTCTCCAAATATGCCAACTTGATCCACTTGTGGTAAACAGACTGTACCCAAAGTCACAGAACTCCAGTGTTCTTCTTTAGGGTTCTCTATAAAGTTTAGCTTTGTCTATAAAAGCTTCACGTATTTTTTTTCCCCTAAAGCTATTCCTAGGAGTCAGCTGAATTCTGTGAACTTTGTGAGTCTGAGAAGAACATCTAGATGTGTAATTTACTATTTTTGCATCATCTGCTGTGCTACCAATGCAGTGGAAATATCTTTGCAACTTTACTGGCAAGAATTCTGATTTGGAGGACGAAAGATCTGAATCTGTGTGTTTTTTTTATTTTAGTGGGTAAGACTGTGTAGGTACAAGAGCCTGCCCAGCAGGTATGGCCAGTGCTCTGTTAGAAGGTCTGACTGGTTTGACAGCTTGTCCCATCTGTAACATTTAAAATTTAAATGTTAATAGTAGAAGCTGCAGCTGCACTGTCACCATAGCTCTTTGCTTTCAGAAGGTTGTTAAAAAAGGACAAAAATGAAATGTCCTGGGGGTGTTAGTGTGCAGCAAGGTAAATCCCAATGGCAATCCCAGGTCTAAGGAGACTAACTCTAGATTGATTGACTCTGCAGGCCAGTTCAGCTCCTGCAGCTCTCACCTTTGCAGTAGAGCTCTCCATCCTTGTCCGTGACGTTGGTGGACTCCAAACTCTTCCCACAAATGGCGCAGCGGAAGCAGCTCTTGTGCCAAGGCTGAGCAAGGGGAGAGGAGTCATTGTGCGGCACAGACAGTGCAGGAAACAAATACTGCTTTGTGTGGTGTGGAAGGGTTAACATTCATCTGTCCATCTTGTGGCTGCCATTTTTAGTCATTCTGGGTTAGCCTTTTTTCAGTGACGCTGTCTAAGGCATCTTCAATTGCCACTACACATAAATGTTGATAAATATACCCAGAGATAGAGGAAGAGCCAGCTTGTACAGTAATCTGTGCTTGGTCCTCAGACATCAATAAGAAGCAAAAAGTTGGAAATTATTTACAAAAAGTACAAGATTTTAAACCTGTTGTAGCAATTTGCAAATTCATCCTTGTGTTCTCTTTATGAACAAAAATTGAAATTATTGAGGACCTTTAGCTGTAGTTTCTCACCATTATAAATTGGTGGGGTTTTTTTCCTAGCGCTGAAGTCACTACTTACTTACTTTTCCTCCTCCCATGATCTTTTCTGCAGCATACACTGATTTGCCACAACGGGGACATTTATCCACATCTACCATCTTTTTGGCAAACTTTGAAGCATTAGTTGGTGTTGAGGGGCGAGCAGGCTTTGGTGACCCCCTAAAACAGAAGTTTTTAAAGCTGCTTAAAAATCTTATCTTCTTTAGAAAAAGGATTTAATTATTTTTTTAGTAAGGCATAAAAGATACTAAATTGCTCATCTCTGACATGCAAAAGGGGACAAAAAATAAGAAAATGAAAGTATTCTATTGAATTCTGTGTTGTATGATTGAGAAGGTGGTACTGTAAGCACTGATATTGCCTGTTCTGGGCTAAGTACATGAAGCTGGCAGCAGCCACGAGCACAAAAGATTATATTTAATGAAAACTGAAGTAAAACCAATTTTCTCTCATTGAGAGGCAACAGGGAAAATAAAAGGAAAAGATGTCTCTAGTCTTTGTAACTGGTTATCTGCTGGTACTCATCAAACTGGAAATAACAATTCAGGTTTTGCTTGCCATAGTTTCATTAGGCAGTGAAACATTTGGACGGGGAATTGGGGTTTTTTCCTGGCCTGGGGTAAAAAGGACATCAGAAAAGTAGCTTTGTTTTTTATTTCTGGTCTGTGTGCTTTAAATCTGTGTGCATAAAGCCTTGGACAGAACTATTTCTGATTTATCAGATAGCTGGACTGAAACAGTTCATTTTATCCTCAGGATGCAGCAGTTTTGGGCGCAGAGCTCTGCCCGTAATGGATTTGTATGGCACAAGGAGCTACAGTTAAATACATTGTTTGAGCTTTTATTTCCTGCACAGCATATTGCTTAATTGGTTTCTTTATAGCAGACCACCAGAGGGAGGAAGAAGCATTGTTGATGTAGAAATGTGCAACTTTGAGAATTGCAGGAAAATCCTATAAAAATGAACTGTCAGAGCTAATTACATGCTTTTGGAAGATGGTATCCCATTAGAATTCTTTTTGTTCAAACACATTCTCAGTGTGTTTGTAAGTGTTATTAGAACCACAGGGAGGAGAATGTTACTTTCCCCATTGAGAAATGTTAGAGATGTTATTGCCCCCATTGAGAGGAGTGCGAGCAGTATGGGGTAGTGTGATTATTTCTCCAAGAGTAAAATGTTAACTAAATTTTAGCCTCTAACAGGAAAAAGAAAAAATCTTTTTCTGTGGCCACTGTGCCAATGTGACTTTACCACTGTGCTGCAAATGGCAGATTACAAATGCAGTGAACATTTACACGTGTAGTGGCACATAAAGGCTGCTTCTACAGAATAATTACCTATTGAAGGAGGGTGTAATTTGTAAAGGAGGCTTAAAGAGATTGAGCATCATTAAAAACTGTAAATTACAGTGTCTATGGAAGAAAAGGGTGTAGGGAAGTCTGCTCTGCTCCTTATGCTGGATGTTGTTATGGAAACAGAATGAAATACATAAAACACCCTGGTAAGGGACAAGAAGGACCAGAGCAAGGAGCTGTGGCTGGGGTTTGACTCACTGCTGCAGGTTCAGGCCCAGGTGCTCTCCGGTGTCCGTGCTGAGGCATCCAGCCCCTTGTCCAAAGCCAACCCCTTTGGGGCCGTATTTCCTCCCATAACAGGTTTTGCAGTAGATTTCAGATTCGTGAGCTGCCACCGTGGTGCTGTCCAGGGCCTTCCTGCAAGCCACTGAGAACAGGGAGAGAAAGGCACCTATCAGCATTTGCCTTTTCAAATTTGAATCTCTGTGGTTTAAAATAATTGCAATTAGTATTTCTTTTTGTTTAGCTTTAAAAATGTGGGGAAAGGAGCCAGTCAGTAGGAAACTTGTCAGTATAAAACTTGACTGAGCTGTTGCTGAAGTAAGGGAGAGGTATATGTGTGCGTGCACATAACCTGTTCTTCTTTTGCCGCTCTGAAGTTATCCTGTAACCCCAGGGAAATCCAGATCTGTGAAGCTTAAAATGGGCTTGGGATTGAAATTGGCCATCCTGAACTCCCAAACCTTAAAAAGGGGGGAAAGAAGGCTGCAGAGACATTGATCTGGCCTTTCCAGAGTATTTGCTCTGGGTCTGTGGTGGCTTTCTGAGCTCAGCCCAGGCTGTTCTGACGTGGTGTGTGTCTGAGAGAGGGTTTAGCATCGACTCCTGTCTGGAGTCAGACAGGACATGTTGGGGTTTTTTCTCATTA